GCACCCTAAAAGCCTCCTTGTGCAAAGCTTACAAAAGGCTTGTGGAAGGCTTGTGTGGGCTTATGTATGGTTTGTATAAGCCTTATATAAGCCTTACTCAAGGAGCATCCAAAGGGGTATTTGAGGCATGGAAAGGCATTCGGCTGTCGACGCGGCACTTGGTTTTCCTCACAGCAAACAATCATGCTCCGGTCGGCTCAAATTTCCTTTGAGCTTCACATTCGATGTATCGATGCCTTGGTCGTGAAGAGCCAAGGAAGTTGAATGGATTTCTGTATGAAATATGTATGAAACGAAAATGCAGGAATGCAAAGCAAATAAAAAGCAAGAACCCTTACCAAGGCGCGCTGTGTTTTAGGCTTGGACGATGCAGGTGCAGGTTCAACAGGCTCAGCCCCTCGTTTCTTCCCTTTGGCTGCTGGCTTGGCTTTCGGACTCGCTTTTGCCGGTGGTGGTGATTTGGCCTTTGTTTTGGCCTTTGGCTTTGCTTTTGCTTTTGCTTTTGCTGTCACTGCTGGAGCTGTGGGAGGCGCTTTGGATGAAGACGAAGAACTGCTGGAGCTGCTGGAGCTGCTTGCTTTCCTTTTTTTGCCGACACGCGCTGGCTTGTCGCGTGCACTGCCGGCTGCTTGGTCGTCGTTCTCTTGGCTGCTGGCTTGGCTCGGTACCAAATCAACTGCATCGTCGTCCACTGTTTCCAAGCAGGTCTTCAAAGTCGAAGTGTCAACTGATTTGAGGGCTTCCTCAATCTGTTTCGACGTTGGCTTGTTTGACACATCCTTAGCGGCAAAACCGATCGAGCACTTGCGTCCTCGGCCAAGTTTAATACTCGCAAACGAATTGACAAATGAGATGGGGACATGTTTTTTGGAAGCCCGACACAACAAACTTCAAGTACCCGTGGCCAAATTCAAACGGTAAGGCTGATCAATAACACGGTCGAGCGTCTTTGCCGGCTTTTTTGTGATGCTGCCAAAGAAATGCCACAGCATGTTTCAATGCTGCAAGTTGTGTTACGGTCTGGTTGTAGGTCTTTGCTGTGGACCAGTGTGTTTTCAGCTTCTGCTTTCTCGCAGCTGAACCTTTTGTTTTCGCTTGTTCCATTTGTTCTTTATCACTGGCAGGTTTGGGGTAGTATGCCTGGAACTGGTTCGCCGAGAACTGCCAAACGAGGTAGCATTTGGCAACATCCGCAGGGCGAAGCCGTTTGATCTCTTCGGGGGTTGCGTAGCTTGCTCGTTCCTTGCTGTGTCCAACTCGAGTCACTATGAACTCCGCGCGAGCCTGGTCTTCTAGTTTCTCTAGCAGGTCATCCCACAACTTTCCGTCCGAGTCGTTCTTCACGATGTGTAGAACGTCCAGCATGCAGCTTGGCTCTTTGCGGTGTTTTGTCGCTCCCAAGTGGCGAGTAAGCGTGTTGGCGCGTGTGTCCTTGTCGATGTCCGGAAAGAAGTGGTCAATGAGCGCTATCCTTTGTAAGTCAGCGTGTAGTTAGTGTGCATAACAACGATGGTCTCTTAAAGATTTGATTTCTGTCCGCGGACCACAAAGCCAACTTACCTGCTCATTTCAACTTGGTTTGGTACTGCGAGCACAGTGCGGCTAACCAACAAGACATATTGGAAGTGCAGTATGTAAGGCCCCGGTCCCTTAATCAAGTGACAATCGCGAGTGAAGTCCCACCTTCTTCTCCCCGGATGGCTCCACTTTCAATTCCAGCGCAAAGCATAGGTTTTTGATTACCTGGTCACCAACTTCAGCAGCAACCCCGTGCATCAAGAAATGCTGGGCCAGCTTGAGGTTCGGCCCAGTTCTGCGGAGCACAATTCCAAGGCCAGGCATTTTGTGCTCAGAAGGCGGGCCTTGGTTTTCCAAGCAAAAGCACTCAAAAAATATTTGGCTGGTGAATGAGTTGTTGGTTTATTTGGATTAGTTTGCGCCTGGCGCCATAACTTACTAACTAGCAAGGAGCTACTGTAGAAACTACGAACAGCGGATGCGCGACAAGTAAGGCCCAGGCAAACCTCAACCGGAACTCCGCTGAAGTCTTCGCAGTCAGAGTCATCATTTTTGCGAGCCAGCTGGCTGGTACAAATTGTTGTCACCTGTTGGCGGGCCTGCGCGTAGGTTGCATGAGCGCTGCAAAGCAAAAATATGGGCGACCCAGGCGTGAGCTGCTTGATCTCCCACGCAAAGCCAGCGTTGTGATAAACACCCAAGCTCAAAAAATATTTGCCGCTTGCCTTCTGCTGGAAAACCATTCCCAGTTGCATGAGTTCAGTCACCCAGCAGCCTGAAATGTTTTGAAAATTCGAGTCCGCCGTTGCCTGCAGAACAATCATAGATGCTGATGATCGCCAGTTGGCCTCTTGTGATGCTGGCTTGATGTTACACAAAGCGACAGCAGTCCCAACGGGACCGGAAATGCTCCGACCTGCAATTCCTGACAGAAAAAACTGCCCAAAATTTCACGAAATCAAACCAATGCAAACAAGACTGTAGGGCGCCGGTCAAATGTAAAGAAGACACTCAATGACTCAAGGTTACACGAGTGGGCCAAACAGTGCAGCATGAAGCAATGATTTACTTGTTCGCAAAACTTGCCACTTATTTTCTATCCTTAGCCGCCTGGCCTCTGTGTTTCGACTTGAGCGCGTCTCGCACTGACTCCTCAACTTTGGAATCGCCAGCGCCAGCAGAAAAAATCTTGCTCCGAGAGCGTTCCTTTTGAAACATCGCCTTGTTTTGCATGTCGCCCGAAGAAACTTGCATCAATTTCCACTCCTCTGTGTTCCACCGCATACCCAAAGTCGCGTGAAAGAAAAGCCGCTCTGCCGAAGAGTTGGACCATTTGTTGTCACGAGTTCCGTGATCTTTCAAATGGCCTAGGGTGTCTTCTAAAGACTCCTTGGTCGAGCACCAGCAGTCCGCCAAACGAAGCACATGTTCAAAGCAGGCGTTTGCCTGCCATGAGTGGCAGTCCATGTGGTTCCAGCACTCCTGTGGCCGAGCGCAACATGATATTGGTGACCCGGAATTAGATCAAAGTCAGTCACAGAGCGCAAGCAACGTTAGTTATTTCGCGCGAGCCTGTTTACAATTCACTTGTTTGGCGGTCCTGTACCACGGTCAACTTGTGGCACCATAGTTCATTGAGCGCGTGGGTCAGTCCCTAGAAACTGTGCTGAGCAAAGTCAATGAGGCTTTAGAAAACTAAGTGAAACGACACAATATCTACACAAGCTAAAGATTGCAAACAAAATGTACACGTTTGCTAGTAAAGAACAAGGCGCCGCAACATCAGTGTCCTGGCCAGAAGCCTGCTGCGTTTCAAAAGCTTTCCGTGTGACGGCAGCTTGGTTCTTCATTTCCTTGAAAGCTTCCCGCGCCCAGTCTTTGTTGTCATGCAGAATTCCAAACCATTGGTGGGGTGGAAGTAGCCAGCTTGACATAGACCAAGTTCGTTGGCTAGCAGCCTTGCAAATAAGTTTGTAAAACAGCAGCGCGTCCTCTTTGTTGCTTGCAGGGTCCTGCGCTGACCGCATGTCGCAGCCCAAGCGCTTGCAAGTGTCCTCGCTGTCCAGCTCGCCAAACAGCCGGGAGATTGTTCGCCCCCAGGAGCGCAAAGACCATCCAGCTTGTGCTTGAACGTTGTGCTTGCGGCTCTTCGTGATTTCCATGATATCGCAGTGATCTGCGTAGAGGGGCATTTGCGAGCGATAAATCCTTACCGTGTTTCTGTATAAGTCGCCATTTTGCGTACAAAGTGGCTTCTGCCCGCTTAGGGGGTACAAGACCAGTATCGAGTTGATAGTGCAGTTGGGTGTTGATGTTGTCTTGCAGTTGTTTTCCAAACCCATTCAACTAGCACGCGGTACAGCTCCAGTAATCACTACAAACAAAAATGTTGCCATTTCCAAGTTGTGTGTCATGTAGGAGTACTTTTTGATGACGCTGTCGGACAGAACATCATAGGTGACATCCATGAGCTTTTTGCGGGTTTGAAGCTTTTTGAGCCTTCGTGTCAAGTCCTCCTTAGCCTCCTCTGCTCCAAGAACACCCTGGGCGGGCCCCTGAACATCAAGGTCACCCTCGTCCTGGGACTTGGGCTAACGACTGGGTTAGAAACAAAGCAATCTGTTTCTGTTCAAAGTTGTCATCCTATTGAGTTGTTTGAGTCCAGTCACTCAGCAACTCACAGCCGCAGCAACAACATAAACCTGAATGATAGCTACCGCGGAGCAGCTTCTTGTCCTTCTAGGTCAAGATCACCAACAAGATTGCGACGGAATCGATGAATTTTCAGCATGAACGTCCAGAACTTGTGGAAGCTGTGGTATCTGGAACACCAGTTGAGGAATCTTGACACGGTGGCCTTAGATACTAAGCACTACACGCCGCAGCGAAGCTAAATTCAGTAGGGAGCACAACCTAACGATTGCTTACTTGGTTTGCTATTTTCAGTTTGTGGCTTGTTCAATAAAACATCCTTTATAGATTCCAAGAGAGGGGCGCCAAGCGGCAATGTGGGTCGATTCCCGTAAGAATGGCAACAGTCAGTGGTAAGCAAGGTGATGTTGCAGGGCCGAGCGGCTTCTGAAGGTGATGTAAGGGCGTCAATACCGCTCCAACACATGTCATAGATCTCATCAGCGCTGGCCGACTCCGGCAGTCCCATGTCCAGCCGCATCTCGTCTAAGTGCTCTTGAAACCTCGGCGCGGACGTTTGGCTCAGGATGATTTGAAAATGTCAGATTCCAATAACTTCGTTAGTTGACTACTTAGCTTAGATGCTTGACTTTAACAGCAGCAGTTGGTCAGCGCAACTAACAATCGACAAGGCACTCAGCAGAGCTTGGTCCGTATAGTTTCAAGTAGGAACTGATGCACCCAGCTAGCGTGTGGCCAAAGCCATAGGAGCTCCATGGCCGCCGATTTATGCTCATGATGATTCTGCACGCTGCAACGCAGCCTTGTTTTGAGTCCAGGCCGGGATATCAGGCTCAAGAATATGTCTTTCCAGCAACCTGTTTGAAACACATGTTTGTTATTTTGTGTCACCCCTGTTTCAGACAAGCTTCCAAAGATCTTGCACGCCTTCGCCGGTGCCAAGCTGTCATTCTGGAGCCTGTGGTGCTCGTCCCTTCGGATCACAATCCGAAGTTTGTTTTGAAAAGCCAGTCGGTGCAGCCATTTCATCCTGAGCTGTCCCGAATTTCAACATTGTTGAATGAGTTGCCGAGTGCGCGCGGCAGTGGGGGGCTACAAAGAACAAGAAATGGTCATTTACTCAAACGGTGAGTCGATGTCGAAATCAAACCTAAAATTATGATGGGGTTATCAAATCTAGGGCAAAACTAAAACAACACGGAATCCAATTGGGAGGAGACCATTCGGCCATGGATCTGTTTTCTTTCCTCGTCGCATGTCACCAGGAGACAAGGCTGGCGCAGCAAGTCATTCGCGGGCCGCGCTGCTGATGGAGCACGCGACTTCGGCAAATAATCATCCAACGAGGCAGCATGCCGAATGGCGTTGGAAAGATCTCGGACTGATTGAAGCTCTTGCTTGTTCAGGACCCTGGCCTCTTGGCGTAGCTTCTGAACTGCCCCAAGCGGCAGTAAGTTTTGCTTTTCCATCGACTTAGTGCAAGACATGGTTTTGAGGTTGAAAACTCAGGGATAAGAACCCCCCAAAAAAGACACAGACACAAAATGGAACATAAAATTCAATAATAGGGTGGTTGAAATCTAGATTGGTCTAGTAGTTAATCAGTTGAATCGAACCTTGGTTTCTGAAACCCCTGCTTTCTACAACTATTTGTTTGAATCTTGATTGATCAACGGTCTGAGTGCTCCAAACTTTGCAGACAATGCAGAAGCCAAGGCGCTGCGGCCTTCATCAGAGTTTTGAGCTCTTCTGCATCCTCCTGGTTGTCTGGCCCATCGTTGAGGATGGTCTTGTCCTCAACCTGCGGAGGGGCGACTGCCAACATGACCAGCCTCAAGCCGGTAGTTTCATTGCAAGGCAACAAGTTCGATGAAGCAGTGAGTCAAGCCAGAGTCTGTGATTTTCACCGCAGCACTGTGCCACTTGCTGAGGCGAGGTCAACTGCGCAAACGTTACTGGACTACGGGCTGGCAGGCGGGCCCGTTCGATTCAACAAAAACAACACTAAGTCGGCTCGAAAGGGATCCTGGCCAGTAGTTCGTGGTGCCCGCATCCAGTAGCAAGCGCATCACTTATTGATGTGCCAAAGCCACATCGCCTTGAATGATGATTCTTGCAACACCCACGCAACTGTCGCCTGAGTCATGCTCCTTGTTCAACAGCCACTTTTCGGAACTGACAAAAAGGGACAGCAACATCATCGGTGTCAGGCTGCGTGGGTGCCAAGGGCAAAAAATATGTCATTGAGCAACGAGTGACTTGGATCGCGTCAACCCCAGGGCTGACAATGCTTGGGCTTCGATTCCTGCTATACTCTTGATTGACAACACGTTAACAACATTGTCATTGCTTAGTTGGTTCCACAGAATGCTAAGCAAGCAGGGCGACAAACCCAGGGAAAAAGATTGCTGTTGTGTTTTCAGCTCCAGTGTGAAAAAAGACTGAAACGCCCAAACAACGACATTCTTTGGAACAAAGCCACTGCTTTGTCCACTGTTACAAAGAATCTTCTTTTGTCAACAAAATTGGTTGGGAGAGGGGAGGCGGGGAGGCGGGAGGGGTGGGGGGGGGAGGGGGGGAGGGGCGGGGGGAGGGCGAGGGGAGGAGGGGAGGGGGGAGGGGGGAGGGAGGGGAGGGAGGGGGAGGGGGAGGGGGGGGGGAGGGGGGAGGGGGAGGGGGAGGGGGAGGGGGGAGGGGGAGGGAGGGAGGAGGGGGGGAGGGGGGAGGGAGGGGGGAGGGGGGAGGGGGAGGGGGGAGGGGGGAGGGGGGAGGGGGGGGAGGGGGGGGGGGGAGGGGGCAGGGGGGGGGGCGGGGGGGGTCAGGGGGGGGGAGGGGGGAGGGGTGAGGGGGAGGGAGGGGCAAGGGGGGAGGTGGGGGGGTGGTTTGGGAGCCAACTGGAGGGTTTGGGGTGTATGCTGCGGGGTGCCTGAAAACCTTCAATTTAGCTGGGGGCAGCAGCATACACCCCAAGACCTTCTCTTATACAGACCTTATGCAAGCCTTATATTGGGGCTGTGCGGGGAGTAGTCTGGGAGTTGTTTTTGAGGGTCCTTTCTAGCCACCCCCAAAACGTCGTGGAACCTTCAATCAATTTATTAAACATTCCGGATCTCGTATTTCCCTGTTTTAGAAAACCACGACAACAAGGCACGCCGGCCCTTGATTTGAAACCAAAGTCGTTTCAGTTAGAGCTAATTTTCTTGATTCAATCCTCCCTGTTCAAACTGGCCCACACAACTTCTCAAATTCTTTCAACAAAGGGAAACCAAACATATGGAAGACACCAAGCATGCCTGGGCATGGCCTTGCTCAGGTATTCTTTGTCGCGACCTTCTGCTCAGCCTCCTCGGCCTTGTCTTCAAAGTCGGGGACTTCAGGAACATCAGGCCGCTCGGACTGCTTCCCGTCAAGGCCAACCGATGGCTCCTTCAAGGCCGCGTGTTAGAGGAAAACTCCATTCTCAGGAAAGGCTTTTCCAAGACAACTATGGGACAACAGCAAAAGACCACTCCTGATTCTTTCGGCCCGGGGAAGAAATCCCAAGGTCTTGTGACTCCTTGGTCGTTGGTGCAGCGATTTCAACCAATGTCATGTCACAATGTCGGCAACTCTAGTTTCAAAACATGATTAAGCCCGGGTCCAGGTTGCCACCCTGCCCCTCGGTAGACCACTGGGATTCGGAGAACTCCTGTGTCAAATGAAGCCAGCTTGTTTATGTCAAAAGTTCAAAGGCTGCGCTATGATCGCAACACCAGTGATGCTTGGGCAACTCCGGTCCGGAGCCAACACTCGGCGTTTCTTAGCGGCGGCGCTCTCCGGCGGAATGGCCGTGTTCTCCTCAAAGCACGCATCGACCTGGGCGAAACGAGTCCGTGGCAACAGGAAGTCACAGGTATGTCACAGGTGTTGAGGTGACATGTCGATCCTGGATGTGAAACTTATCACATCGCACACCAGTGCTGCCAGGTCACATACTTGCACAAGTTCATGGAGGGGCTGCTCAGAAGCCACTTCTTGTTCGGACGGCTGAAGCGAACCTCAAAGTCCTTCATAGGGTTGGCTGGCAAGACTGCCACCTTGTTGGGGTCAGTGGTTGAAAGCAGCACAGGTACGTCAGGGCCAGCCGAGTCATCATGTCGCGGAATGTAGCCGACCACTGCGTAGGGCATCTTGGGAAGAAATTCTTCCTCTTCGCCTGCTTCGGCTCCGTCAAGGGACATCATCGACATTCGGGATGGTGTTGGTGAGGGATCACGGGGAGGCGCAGCAGAGTTACCAATCTTGGCTGGTGGCTGCACCGTCACTAGTGACTAGCATCCAGTTTGACTCGCTGCCTTCCGTGCCAGTTCATGGATGGACCAGCTAAGGCAGAAGGATGTGATTTATCAGCGCCAAGAATTGGCAGGAAACACCGTTTCTTCAAACAAGTGTATGGCGTGTTGTTCGAAGTTGCAAACCAAGGTGCTGGCAGCGGTTCGACGCTCTCGGGTTTTACCGGCGTGCCATCAAGGCTGTCGGTGCTTCCCCCCAACTTGGCCTTCTCGCTTGCAAGGAGACCCTGCCTTGAACTTGGGGACGCCAGTCTCCCAGGCAATTCGCTGTACGTGGGAGCCGGCGGAACGGTCACAAAGTCTTCGACCCACGTGCTTTCTACCCCGCTCGTGAGGTATGGCCTTCGCTGCCTCAAGTCAGAGCTGAACTTTAATTGAGGTTCAAACGTTTCGAACTGGAGAGATGGTGATATTGACATCTTAGTCCAAGTTGCACAAAGTCCCAGTGCACCCTGGCATCCCAAGGGCTCATTGTCCGGGGAAGAAAGCGGTGTTCAGTCCCATTTGACACGCAGAAGGAGCCATCAGAGCTCTGGTAGCACAAGAGGCTCTGGAGAGTGCTCTGCTCATACAGCCGCTCTGCCCGGACAAGGTCGATGATATTGCGCGGGTTGTCTTGGCTTATTGGCAACCCACTTGAGTGAAAGGCGTGCTGAGACCAACAGTCTGCGACGCGAATGCGGGTACACTTATACTAGTGGTTCAGGCCAAGGCACACATGACGAGCTCGCTGTCTTGGGCCTGCCGGCCATACTCGTCCACAAGGCCTTGCAAGTATTTGGCGCCTCAGTGATTGCGACATGTTTACGACAGCTTCGCGCAATGCTGCGACATTTGACCCAACCTAGACATGCGTCGGCTGGAAGCTCCGTCTACACATCGCGGTTTCTGTGTCGGGTCAATGTCGCACAAGTAGCTCAGGATCTCCTCGCTTGATGTGCGTATGACTGGACTGGATGTGTGAACGGTTTCGGTGAGTCACCACCCTAGCTTCGCACAGCAGTTTAATTGAGTCAACCCGCAGTAGCTTGCAATGCCAAGTTGCGGTTACATCAGCGTTGTCCAGTTGGTTCATGATCGCGTTGTTCCATCGGCTGCCATCCATCTTCGGAAGCTGGGCGATTTTGTCTGTGAGCGGCAGCTCGTAGAGATCCTTAAAGTTCAGGTGGTCGCTCGATGAAGCCTTGGGATAGCGAACAGTTGGCCCGCCGCTGTTCGAGCCGCTGCCTCGCTGTGGCGCACCGCCGCGCAGAGCACTTTGACGTTGGGCCGGGACTTGCGCAGATTGACCTTGTCAAGAAATCCCAACAAAGGAACAGATTGGATGGATTGTGTCTTATGGTCGTCTATCATGTTGATTGCAGGCTAGCAACGGGCTTTCGGGGCATATTGAGGTTGCTGCTGAGGAAGAGGCAAAGGCAAAGGCGGGCTGGGGCGAGATCCGGATTGCTGGACAGGTTGGAGCCGCTGTTGGGTTGGGTGTGCCGGCGCTGGCGCCATAGGCTGGATCTGAAATGTCACCCCTGTCTGCTGCGGCGGAGGTGGTGGCGCATTTGCCCCCTGAGCAGGGGGAGGAGGTGGCGCCTGTCCACCGGGACGCTGTTGATGTGGGACAGGAGGAACTCCGTACATGTCGCAGAGATTAGCTTGGGAACCTGATGCTTCACTGGGTCACTACAATCCTTGAGGGCCAAAACGTAACTCGCCGTTTGTCCAAACACACCAACCAAACTCAGTGTCACAATGGCTGACAAACGCGTGCTCCAGACTGATTTGTTTTCATCCGCACAAGCATCAATGCTTGGCTTTGCATGAGCACAGAACAGCTGCAGCAGTGCAGCCCACTTGTGGCACTGACATGCTGTTCCCCAGAGCACGGCGGGAATGCCAGTAAGAATTTGGCCCCCAAAAGGCTGGATATGTGCAAACATTTGCTTTCATGGCGGCAGGTTCGAAACAAGGAAAGCCCACATCTCCTTTAGAAGGAGATGTCGGTTCGCAAACGGGGCTATGTAGAATGAGCCTGTTCGCCGGATCGTTGGGAGCTTGTTGGACGTGGCTGACCAACAGGTCCACCCTGACTGACCAGCGGGATCATCGCCAACATGTACAAATAAGTCGGCTGGAAGGCACTTCGGTCCCTGAATTGATTGATACAAACTGACATATGACCTTGTACGTTGCATCTCGGTCTTGGATACCACATCAAATGGCGAGAGGGCTCCGTGGAGGTTGAACTGTTTGCCGCGCATGGACTGGACTCGGGCCAAGTGCAGGCAGTCCTCTATCACATCCTTCTCAGATCCACATAGAAGAACCGATGGCCTGAGCGACTGAGAGCGGATTCGAAGGGTCAGAAAGAAACAGTTTGAATCCATGTTGTAAGCTCATGGCCGAAGCGGCGGTTCTCTCTGAAGGATGTGATGAAAATGGGCCAGCAAAAATTGAGGGTCCATGACTATTTGCACGTCCTCGCCCCGGATGCCCCCCATGTACAACCTCAGATGTTGAGGGGCGCGTGCTTGTCACAGTGCTTGTGATCATTAAAACTGTCAAGCTACTTGCAGTTCAATCTACAGCTGCTTGATGTTATTTGGGCAAGCAACCTGTCCCTCCGGGAGAAGGAAAACCCGACCATATCAGGAGACATAATCCCGTGAAGAGGCCATTCGTAGCAACTCCCAAAAGCAGCCTCGACCATATGTGTGGGAAGAGCTTTTACACACTCCAGGATTACCACGGGGGTCTGTGTGTGCTTGCTCTTGGCGCCGAAGGCTAACAGCAACGGTAGACCAGGTCCATGTTCCTTCCGTTTCTTGCCAGCCGTGCTCCAATCTTGGCAGGGCTGACCCCCGACCTTGCTAGCCCCCCCTGTATTGATCTCGCAATGCCGCTGGTGCCGGACACACCACGCAGTGTCGTAAACTGGCAGGGACTGCGCTAATTGCAGTTTGGAATCAAAATCGGGCTGCTCCATGATGGCCTGATGCCAGTGATTTGCATCCCCCCACACGTCAAGGATGTTGTCGAAGATGTGGCAGCCGTCGGCCAGCTTGTAAGCCAAAGCCTTCTGCATGTTGCGCTCCACTTCCTGGGCAGAGGGGAGACGGGGGTTGGGCGAAGGAATGGGAGAGGACCAGTGAATACCACAAAAAAAGAATTGATGTTTGACTCATGAAGCAAGTGGCACAAGTGGAAAGCGGCCGAAGTTGAGCGTGCAAGTGCTTTTGATGAGCTGCAGCAGTCAAAATGCCACAGGCAGTTTCCCAAGCTGCTGCGCCCCCTGTGAACTCTGATGTGGTTCCTTGAGAACCAGGCGCACAGAGCAGGGATTGCTCAAGGTGGCTTCGGCTTGTCAACTGCATCGCTGCGCTGATCACGTGATGCCCCCATTCAAAGCAGCGAGCCAACCCCGGATCCATGGGCAGGCAGGCTTGATCCACCCCACAACAAACTGAAAACCAGAACGCGTCAGGCGGCGCTTGACTCAACTCAACTCACTCAAAATAGCAAAGCAAGCGCTGGGGGGGAGAAGCGGCGGGCCTGGAAGGGGGCTGAGAAGCCCAATTGCAGATCCGGCGACCAGAAGGTATAAAAGGTAGCTTTGATCGGCGTTGGCGCCCCACCGTCAAACAACACCTGGCCGGGCAAGTCTTGGCGTTGCTATTGCTGGGCTTTGAGAAGCGCAAGAGACATAAGAATCCAAAGTCGTGTAGTAGTAGCAGCAGTAGTAGTAGTCATTGTAGGCAGCAGCAGCAGTAAAAGCAGCAGAAGTAACAGTAGAGCAGATGCAGCAGCAGCAGTAGGAGTAGCAGGGGTAGTAGTAGTGGTAGTAGCGTAGTAGTCGGAGTGGTAGTGGTAGTGTGATATAGTAGCAGCAGCCGCAGTAGTAGCAGCAGTCGCAGAAAGAGCAGCAGTAGCAGGAGAATGTGTTCCCACCACGCCCCATCACCCGCCTGCAGGTAGTTGGCTTGGCCTTTCACTTCTGCAGAGATTCGGGCGCAGTAGGCGCTTGTGTAGTCCTGGTTGCTGGGGACACGCATCAATCAAGGTCAAGGCGCCCCCCAGAAGTTCAGTCTGAGAGTTCAGTGACTAGCGGCTAAGAGGTTTTGCAACTTAGAAACTCATGGAGTGAACTTGTACGCAGTCCTTGTGGATCGTTGGCGGGGCCGCCCTACCAAGGTCCATTTTCTTGCACGCCGCCTCCAGCGATGGGTGCTGGCCTTGCTGGACAAGAGCCAACGCCTTGCAAAGGACAGCGCGGTCAAAGAGGGCGTGGGCTTTCTTCGACTTACTCGATGGGGTCGAGATTGCAAAGGCCCAAATGCCGCTAGCCATGATTTGGGCAAAGTGCTGTAGCAAGCGGTGCGCAGCTGCCAAGCTGACATCCCCTCCAGCAATGAGCAAGGCGGTGATGAGCTCGCCCAAAGGAGGGTCTACCTGAGCGCCCAGTCCTATAGCTCATTGGTGTCGTTGAATTGCAACATGAACCCTTGTGAACACTGCCAATTTTGGTTGGGATCATCACTGACTGGCAAAATTCATCCTCGTGAAATTGCGGCTCCCCTTGAAGTGGTTTAACGTTTGCAACGAGAACAGTAAACAGGTGTTGTTGACAAACCGGGCGACCGATGATGTGAAAAGCCTCTCATCTGGAGACTTCCCAGAATCCTGACGAATCCGGTCATCGAACCATGCCAAGAAATCCAGCCACCAACGCTGCCGCTTCAGGACCTCGGCGCGGCCATCTGCCAGCAGCGCGCGGCCGTTCTCAACCGGGATTTGAACCTGGCAGGACGGTTGCTGACACAGACTCTCTTGACTGGCTCTAGCAGTCAAACCACCCAGAAACCAATAGATGGAGTTGGGCCTCGCTTGCAATTGTCAACATGAATGCTGAGAGCGCTTGCAGTGCTTGCCGGCCTGGGCAATGGTAATTGTGTCGATTCCAGCTTTGCCGCTGCTCAGGGGCGCTAGCCACTTCTGCAGCATGAGGGCAGCCCTGAGCGGGTAGCAGCTACAACAGGGAACGCCAAGGTGGGAAGACCAGTGGAACCAGTTGGCTGCGCTAAAATGCGGGCTAGATTCTGCGTGTTCTTGGCCTTTGTCCAATGACTCAAAATAGATATCACACCAGCTGTTGGTGAAACAATTTCACTGATGCATTGATTTAGCACCTCGTTTGGCGCCAGATTGGAATCATACCGGCCCTTCCGCCTGGCGGATGGGCCGCACACCTTGGCTGACTCGACTATAATAGGCTCGCGTTTCCATGCAAGCTCTGCAAAACAAGCTGCTACCAAGCTGCATACCACGGGGGAACTGCAGCATGAGGAAAGATCTTGGAAAACGTTCTGGAAATCGCCGCGTTGCTCTTCGTGACCACATCTGTAGCTTGCCTCAGGGCTGAGAGTCGAACTGTTTGGGGCATTCCCGTGGTACCAAGAAAACAATTCTTTGGCACCTTGCCTGTTCTTTGAGAAGATAGAGTCAGTCACATGATGGAACACCCACAAGAGCTCCCCCGTGGACGTGCAGTGGTAGACTTTGAAGTCGCCCACATTCAAAGATGTTGCCATGGCCCAGCTCGGGCCCACGGCTGCAAAAAGAATGCTCTGGGACTGACACAAGCTAAGTGTTGCACGCCCTGACAAGCGCTACATACAGCACCCCTATAAAGAAGTTTAGGCCCCATAAAAGGAAGATATTGGGGTGTGGTGT